TAGATCCTGCTTATATGCTTTTCCCAGAGGCTTGCTGTAACTGATTCACAGATCAACCCACATACTGGTTGCTTTTAGCTGTTACATCTGATAAGTTAAGCTGGGTCCGACTGGGTCAGTAGCTGAATGGGTGACCTCAAACGTACGCTGATTTGCTGGGGGACATTTTTTTAATTCGTTTGGTGGCAAGCTCTTAGAAGAGTCTGTCTGTCTGTCTCTATCCCAGAATGATGGTTGTGAGGAGTTTGCAGCTGTAATTCTGGCTTTCAAATAAACTAAAGCTGAATCTCAGACCACCTTGTTAACAAAAAAAACCCCAAACCCTAACAACAACAAAAACCCCCAAAGCCCCCAGCTCCTCTCATGAAACTCAGCATAAAAATAAACACATCTGGCCATACTCCAATTTTTCTTCTGACGCTTCAAAGGAGAAGGGGCATGTTATTAGGGCAATGTTGAAGCTGAAACAACTAAATACCTACTACTATGCCTTTATACAGTCACGCACTTGAAATCTTTACCACTCCGTATACTTATGAGGAGGGAATGTGATTTCTGACATCGGTGAATGGTTCTCAGCACATGAAGTAACATGGACAAACACCTCCTTTTGTGTCTGCATATGGCCAGATGCTTTGATCTGTGAGCTGATGCATCCACATTACCCAGTGGAGACAGAGAGAGGAGAAGAGAGAGAAAAAAGCAAAGGCGGTTGCCAAAATTGGCATCCAGCCCTAGCTCTTGAATATGTTGGACCACCCTGAAAAGCATTCTTGTTAGTGTTGAGTAGTATAATTATTAGATTGTTCGTATATGTCCCAGCAAAATATGTGATTTTGTTATTCTTTATAATAAGACCAGACTAAATATGTTGTCAGTGTCATCAAAACTAAGCTAATATTGTTGTTATCTTTGAGCCAAAAAGGGTGCTGGATTTTGCATTCCTTTTCCAGTGTTTGGTCCTGTAGGCTGTGCTCGTGCTGCCTTATTGTGTGACGGTACTGCTCTGCAATGTTAGGGGCTGCCCTTGAGGATGTCAGATATTACAAGAAGGAACACCATTTTTGGATACCAGCATCTTTGACAGCTTTTCAGGAGAAATTAATGATTATATTACAGAGGCAATATAATAGGGAAAAAAACCTAAGGATCATTGATAGCACTTATTTCTTGGTAATAAAGTAGAGTATGGCAAGAAAGAGAAGTATTCTACAATTTCTTCATGGTCACTGAATTCCTCAGTGGTTTCCCTTGTAAAGCTTACTGGAATAATTAAAAGCAAAATGTGGTATGTATGTATTAGTTTCATTCAACAGACTTACCCTACTTTAGATGTTTTTATGGATTCTGTGAAGTAAAATACATTTCATTATAGTGCTAACTTTGGCATGCTGCGGTGCATCTTTCAGTCTGCACATCTTGCTTGCCTTTTTTGAGACTCCAGGCCTATTTCTTTGGGTCAGCAGTATCTATGACAGCACCTTAATTGCTACATGCGTTTGTACTGTTCTTGGGCAATTTTGTTTCAGATTCATGTCAGTGTACCTATTTGCCTGGGGGTTGGTTTTATATTAAATATCAGTAAAAAACAAGTAGCATCTACACAAACAGCAGTGGAGATAAATCCCACATAATTGCAAGCCAGCCCATCTTGAAAGGTGAGTGAAAGGGATTTTTTTTATTATATTTTAGCTGTTACTGCCAGGAAGCAAAAGCAGAAATTATGTTTCAAAAATTGTGGCAGAAGCCTCAACTGTCTTTGATGTCAACATCATCATGTTAATGATTTTGCATTTATATTAAGCGTTACGTTGTATTCTCTTTCTCCCTCCCAAAATTTCTGAATATTCACAACCATAAATTTACCACTATTGATTTATAATTATTTTGAGGATGCAGATGACATTCACTGCTCTTACTAAATGAAGTACAGGGGGAAATGTAAGCAATTTAATGTAATTACTAAAATTGCAAATTGCCCAGAATTCCAAGCTTAACATATAGGTAATTAGAAGATGAGACTGTAAAATTTTAATGAGGTTATATGGTCAGGAACTCAGTTGTATCTAGGGTGGTGCATGTGGGCAGAGGTGCATCCACATAACAGTCATATCAAATTTAGAACAAGGAGCTCAGGTCTGAAATCCTTCTGCCTGAAGATACAGTAGCCAGTAATTTCCCCGTGAAGTCTGTAAGCCTACAGTTTTGTACTCTGGATACTTTTTTTTTCCCCCACTTCACTTTTCTTTGTATTCTAGGAATTAAACTGAGTGTGACCTTATCTGCTTCTTTATAAAAATGGTTAATGCATAAAATGTGACTTGGTATATTGTAAAAAGAACAGCCAGCATAAATAGATATACAAGGTGTAGGAAGGTAGTGGATTGTCACTGGGTCTCATTTTGAAGGAACCCAGTCATCACAGATCACATTTTAATTGTGCCATCTTGTTTAAAATGCCTGCTTAATGCTCTTGTCAGCTAAAAAATTCCCATTAGTTTCAGTCACTGGATGAATGTTTATAGTGATCAACATTTGGATGATTAGCGATTAGTGTTGTCAATCTAATGCAAAATACAGACTCAACCAATCTCACTCAAGGAAAATTTCCTGACTGTATTTCTGTGGAGTTCTCTAGTCTGTAGTACAGATATATAAACACGGTAAGTGGATCTTCATAGATGAGCTAAAAAAAGTAATCCTCTACTGTGGTGGCACAGATACTTTAATATGATTTTTTTTTTTTAGGTAATTTATGTATTTTTTATATATAAATATATTTCTTCAAATGCCACTGAAAGGATTTCATGTTCAGTTTAAAGCTTAACAGGTGGATGACTGAAGTTTTCCTGTGGCCTTATGGAGCTGGAGGGAGGCAGGGTGAAAGTTCTGCTTAGATGAGTGGTGCTATAGCACAGATTCATTAGGAAAGGCCATTAAAAATTAGTCTCTGAGGAATCCAGGATAGAAGACATCCGATGAACTGATGATATTGTAAAATGCTAAGGTGCAACGTGAAGTCTTGGAATGAGATCCAAATGTAAGTTTCTAAGAACCACTACAGTTTATTTAAAATATAAATTAAAGTACAATTATTCTGTTCAATTTGTTTGGCTTTTCATTAATAGTTGTGACTGAAGGGCATATGAAGAGCTTATAGTGCTGTAGGGGCTTGAGGAAAGGTGCCTTGTTTTTCCTCTAAACAGGCTTTTCCAGCAATACTTCCAAGAAAAAAACCAAACCAGCAAAACCAACCCTCTGAACTATGTTGCTCTTTTCAAAGATTAGTTAAATTTGTCGCCTTATCTCAATATTGTAATGCTGAGTCAATAATGCTACTGTAATTTTTAACGATTCAGATACTCCACCAGAACTTGTGTATAGGAGCAGAACCAGAATATCAGTGTTTGAACTAGTACTGGGAAGTGCCAGTGGACTGAGAACAGGAGCCTCAGTTCAGGGCTTCACTTCCCATGTGATGTCTAAATGGTGAACAATGGATCAGTATTTTGTGGTGCTGAAATAAGAGCGTATTTTTACAAACTGGTGATAGATAGGCAGTCTTGACTCTTATTTTGTGATGGCTTAACCAGAGGTTGTTACTGCAGACTTGGAAAGAACTGGACAATGGATTTTGCCAGCTAGGCAAAGCTGAAGTAGTACCGTTGGACTTAGTGACATCAGTTTGTTTGATATGTGTCTGGTTGCCAGATTTTAAATGTATATTTCACTCTAGAGAAACAAGTGACTACAAGACATGTTTTAAAAACATCTGTTTTGTTGACCTTGCTTTTTGGGCAGTCCATCTGTGTAACCCTAAATATTTAGATGAAACCAACATTCAGAGATCTGTAGCTGAGACATTCCCCCTCTTCTGCTGTTTTTCTTGACCAATGTAAGAAAAGATAACAATTCACTTTTTTTCCCCTTCCATTAAAATCGCATTCTAAGCAGTCTTCTGAAATCAGTTCAGCAACATTGTTTTGGAAGCTAATAGAAGCATTATTTCAAATGCTTGGGCAAATATTGCTGTGTATTCATGTATGCACACTTTTTTCAAATGAAATAATACATCTATGATTTTTAGATCTTGACAACATTCTGAGGTTTTTCCTTTCTATTCTCCTGACTTCACATATAGATTTAATTGGGAATATAGTGCATTGTAATAGTTTCTCATCTTTCAAAATTCACAGTTTGAAGTTGAGCAACTTTTACCGATGTGTTCATTTATTTCTGATTTCTCACTATCAAACCAAATCAGCAGCTTAAAAAGCATACTTGTGCAGCCTGGGCTTTTAGGAATTGATAGATGGAGATGCTTTAAACAGAAATAGTTTATTTTCAACATCAAGGATTTGCTTTATATTTCTCTTTCTATGGCAATAAAAAATAATGAGGTAATTGTGAAATCTGGGTTCAGTGTTTTCCAAATAACAAATTGGTGTTATTTGTTATGAGATGTTGTGTTTGTATGTATTTCATAATTCATTCAAGTGTGAAACAAAAGGTATTTCACTTAATGTTCCCACATGTAAACTTTCAGATATAGTGAAAATGGTCTTACCCAGCTGAAGATTAAAAAAAAAAAAAAAAAAAGAAGAAAAAAAAAAGTGTAAAGTGTTGTGATGAGACATTCCATGCCTTTAGGAAAAAGTAAATTGAGTAAATAATTGAGTCAGTCTAATAAAAGTTTATGTTCTCCAGAAAAAGTAATACAGTAGTTCCAGGCAGATGGTTTAATGAGCAATTTTAACTTCTCTAAAAAAATGTAACTGGTGTCTCTTCTGTATTTTAACCATACTTACATTATTTAAGTGTATCACTTATTTTGAATCACTTAATTGACAAAGGCAACCAAAAGACGTTCTGCAATAGTTTGCAGTTGCTAGATTTTTGGGTACTGAATAAGCTGAAGGTGGTAGAGTTCAAGGGATTCTGTTTAGGTAAAATCACCTTTCTCTGTTTTTGTTTTGTTTTGTTTTGGTTTTTTCCCCCAGATCCAGCCATTGTAAATGGAGTTTATTGGTCAGAATCTTTAAATAAGGTGTTTGTTGATAATTTTGATCGTGACCCTTCTCTCATCTGGCAGTACTTTGGAAGTGCAAAAGGATTTTTCAGACAATATCCAGGTAAGAAGAATACAAGTTCTTAAAATACGAAAAAGAATGCTATGGCTGTAAATTTCCACTGAGTATTGTCACAAATAATGACTTTCACAGATACTTGCGGGTTTGATTTTACTTTAGTTTTCAGAGACATATCTTTCTAATGAACATTTTCAATGTTCTGAGTTTTTTGTGCCACCTTTCATTTGGAGGTGAAGCCCCCAAGGTAACTCATGTACTCATATATACATATACACACACGTGAAAAACAGCTTCTAAAGAGACTGTGAAGAAGGAGGCAAAAGGATTAGACCCTTCATATAGTACTGAACTTAGATAATGTGTTCTGTTGATGCACACAGGAAGACCTAATTGTAATGTATTGTTCAGTTTTTGGACTTCCATTTAACACGACATCTTTACATTTAAAGATTTCAAAAACTTGTTTTAAAGTTTCCTTTCACACCAGTTGTAATAAAATGCAATTAGATGACCTGTATTATTTCTACAGAAGTAGGTTAAAATATATATTGTTGCCTATTAGGTTTAGTGTTTTATCATCTATCAAATTTATTTTATATTAAATAAACTAAAGAGTTAAATAAACTGATCCTCAGCTTCTGTAACTGGATCAGGCCCATAATGGGAACTGTTCCTTTAGCTGACATGGTTTAGCAACCGATGGTTTTTTGAGTCTGAAATCTTGAGTTTAATGTGAGCAAGTTTACGATAAGCCTGTATGTCTGAATGTGAATGAAAGTAATGGCTCCTGCATCAGTGTTAGATTTACATTATAGTTCAGCTCCATGATTTTTCAAGGGTAGAAGAAATGTTAGTCCTTATTTTAAAGGCTATATCTTGTTTTGTGCTCGAAAACGATCATAAAAAGCAGGAGGGATTGCCCTGTGAATTTTTTTTCTTGGAGGTGTTTTTGTTATATTTCTTTTGACCCACAACTGAGAGGTATTGCCTCTTCATAGTGACAAGAGCAAAACATCAGGTGTATGACCTGTGAGTGCAGCAATTATATAACAGGACCTGTTGAGATCAGCCATGGGTAGTAAGTGCTCAAGGTTTTAAAAAGACTTAGCAAGCATGTGATAAAGCTTGCCAGCACCAATAACCAAGTATGACAATACTTTAGTAACAGTAGTATGATGAACTTGAAGAGGTTTTTACCTTACAGTAGGTTAAAAAGGAATGAAAAAAAAAATACTGGGTTTGGTGGTCCTATTTTATTAAAATATTTTTCCAGTACTTCCTGTGCTACTTAGCCCCAATACCGCAGATACATTTTGAACAGGTACTGTGAAAATGTAATTTAATTTTTTTTTAATCTCTCTCTCTTTTTTTTTTTTTTTATTAACAGGAATTAAATGGGAACCTGATGAAAATGGAGTCATTGCGTTTGACTGCAGAAATAGAAAATGGTAGGCAATAGATGACTACCAGTGTTTAAAAAATTTGAGAGGAAGAAAAGTTCAGCATTTAAAAGAACTAGTTATTTTGTCTTTTGTCTTAGGTACATCCAGGCAGCAACTTCTCCTAAAGATGTGGTGATTTTAGTAGATGTCAGTGGCAGTATGAAAGGGCTTCGCTTGACTATTGCAAAACAGACAGTTTCATCTATTTTGGATACCCTTGGAGATGATGACTTCTTCAATATAATTGCTGTGAGTGTCTCTGGATTTTTTCTTCCTTTTTTTTTCCCCCCATCATTTTTGCTATCTGTCATGTTTTACATCACACAATACACTTGAAAAATGTTGCAGGCAGGTGATGGATATAAGATGACATCTGAACCAGCTTCTTCAAGTGACAGTTTTTTCAAACTGTTTTTCTATGCCTTGCAATCTGAAACCCATTCAACAGTTTGTCTTAAGTTGCAAAGAGTAGTAATCTGGTTTGTAGTTTGCCTGAACTTTCTACAGTACCCTAATTGTTAACTTTGGGATGTGTCCCTGTACGCTTCTCCATATTTTCCCACTCCCTCCATATCCCCCCCACCCTAGCATCCGCAATATAGTGCCTATTGCAAAACAGTTAAGATGTAAAAATTAATAGAATCAGAGCTTTTGTTGCGGCTTGTATGGCATGATAAAAAGCCAACATAGCTCCTTGTTGTTGTTGGTTTCCTCAGTGTGAATCTGAAGTGTATCTATGTATGTGCCAAGTCGTGCAGAAGTATTACTGGTGCTTTCTAACAGTGTTAAGTTAGATTATCAGTAGTTCCTGTTATTTGTGTATGGTACTTAGCTTTCCATGGTGTGGGTACATGTTTTAAATCTATGACAAGAGGATAGTTTTACAGTATTTAAGAGTAATGGGATTAATTATCATAGAATCATAGAATGACCCGGG